GGTGTCAGAGACAATAAGATTGGCACAGGATAGAGAGCTGATATACATAGGGTCGCTATGAGTCGCAGGCAACTCGACGGCACATAACAACAACAACATGTTCAGTGGGTTTAAAACAGTCTCAATAAGTGAATATATAATACACATATGTGTTGCTTAATATCTAAAATAAATAGGACATTATGTAGTGTTCAGACAACACTCAGATCATATAATATCGGAAACCACACAGCTGTGTGGACTTATCTATCTGCTAATGGGGACAGAGTGCTGTCTGCAGCTATGCTCTTCAAGCTCATGCTCATCTCCATGGGCATAGTGCTTCCAGCTGTGCCTGTGAAGTAGAAAAGATGAGACAGAGAGATGTGTGTATCCCTTTGCACTGATGGTGTAGGTGCCCCTTCTCCATAAGCTGTAGCAGTGGTGAGAACTGACCTCAATAAGAGTCAGCAGCCCTTTGACTAAATGGACTTTCACCCTGAAATCCCCACCTTTTCTCAGACTAGGTTCCAGAGGTCCCAGGTGTGAGCACATTCAGGAGGCCTGGACTGGATTTGAGGGGGAAGGAGTACCCTCTTCCTACACCACTTTTAAGCCCTACCAAGAGCACCTCTCAGAGCCTTGTATCTGGAGACCCTGCTTCACCTCCTTGCTCATCAACATTATCCACCCTCCATCTGTGAGGGACTCAGTGCAGAAGTCCTGTCATACATGGATTTCCATGACATCCAGGAATGTAAGAAACACCCGATGGCCGGATACTGAGTTAGTACCTGAGAAGATAGTACTTTCACCCTAGCCAGAAGTTTTCCAGGTAGGGGTGTGACAAAGTACAGGGATGCAGAAGAGCAGCTGAAGAGTCTTACCCTGTGGCCCAATTATGGGACAGCTCTAAGAATTGTTGTTAAGTGCCATCAAGTTGGAACTAAACTATAATTGACCTTCCAGTCATTTTTCAGAGACTCTAAATCTTATAGGAAGAGAGTGATGATCTTTCTCCTGAGAGCAGCTGGTAGATTGGAACCAGGTGTCTTTGGGTTGGCAGTGCAACTGTTTACCCATTAGTCCACCAGAGCTTCCTTGTCAAGAAATATACACCATTAAGAATAACATTACTAATAGAATATAAATTTGATTTATAGCCTAGTAGTTTAAAAAAGAGTGCCTTTGTTACAGCATACTTATTTTGTACTGGGTATGAATAAATTTCCTCAGTGCACATACCCATACACAATTTTTTTAATTAAAATTTTTGTAAAATTATAAAAATCCCATTCAGATCATAGGAAGATACATTTCTGATAAAAGCTTATGTTTTATACTTGATAGTTACTTATGAAAATGTAAAATACATTTTACTCAAGTTGCATATGCCTATAATCATGATAAAATTTATTCGGGGGGACCCTTTTTAAACCTTCAGTGTTATGTACAAAACAGAATAAAGTAATGAAAAATGTTATAAACTATTATCCATAAATTACTTTACCTTAAAATGATATGTAGAGTAATGGAATTAATACAAGTTCAAGGAAGAAAAAAGAGCAGTATAGAATTTCTAATTACCGAAAGAAAGCTTATTTAAATAATTTTCCAGTGGTGATAAGTGTGTGGGAAATCACTCTTCTGTTTTATGTTTTTATGATATAGCCTTTTAAATTTTAAATGGATTATTTTCAAAATTATATTCTCTCCTTTTTTGTTATTGCACCTAGAATAAAATTCTAAGTCAATTGCTATGTCAAAAATAATGCATGTACCTGTGTATGTATGAATATTTTTTTAGTAGATGTAAGGAAAATAGAAAATTATTTTCAAGTGATTGTTTGGGAGTTAGCAGGACTTTATTGCCCCTGACTATTCTTCAGCCCACATGTGGTAATATTTAGACTCCTACATTCACACATCACATATAAGCAATAGCTATTTTCTTTTTCTCTGAATAAAAGAGTCACTACTTTTCATTGTAAAAATGAAACTGTAAAAATATTTAAGCATTCTATTTGGCTCTGGGTTCTTGTAATTCCAGAAGTTTTGGTTGCTAGTGATAATGACTGAGACCTCTTGACTTGCAGTCTGTGGTACTGCTATTCAGTATTGTAGTCCATGGACACAGATGGCTAGACTAATTTGAGATGTGGTAGAAATGCACTGAGGTTTGAAGGCTTAAATTTACAAAAATTAAAATAGCTCATTAATATTTTTTATATTTTTCATGTATTGGGTTAAAGAAAATAGGTTGTTGAAATTAAGTTAACTTATTAAATTAACATATATTGTATGGCTATGAGCGTGCTTAAAATTGCATATATGGATTGTTGTAAAAAAAGAAAGGGCCACAGAGGAGCACCATATCTAACTTTATCAACTTCACAAAGTGAAACTATCGTCATCCACAGTATCAGTAATACAAAACCAATTCTTATGTGGTCAGACATGTCCCTTACTCTCCCATGCCTCTTTTTACTCATCTCAACACCAGTCTTACTGCTTTATGGGGTCCAAAATTTGATATGATAGCTCACAGACCACAGTGAACTGTATTGGGAATGTCAAAAGTTTGTAATCCAGATTAATAACAGAATACAGTCAAGACAGCTCCTGAAATGTGCACACAGATGCCTCACCCTCAAGCCTCATGGCTCACAATGTTTCTAAGTTCTCTGTCCTGCCAATATTGGCTTACCTCCAATGTCCAATAAAGTTCTTATTCCTGCCAATGTTAGCTTCCCTCTCCAGTTGTCCAGCAAAGTTCTCAGCCCTGCCATTATTGATTTCCTTCCCCAATTGTCCAACAAAATTCAGTCCTGCCAATATTGGCTACTTTCCTCAATGTTGTTTTAGTTAAGTGTTGTCAAGTTGTAGACAAGTCAAAGTAACCCTGTGTATGAAATACCTGAACACTTGTATAACTTTCCTTGTTTCTTGATATTCATAGGGTTTTCTGGGGGCAAGCTATTTTGGAAATGGATGCCACTTTTCCATCCAAACCTATTTTAATAGGGGAGCTCTGTGTTGGTGTGGAAAGGCTCTTGGTTGTCTCTGGCTAGTTGGATGCCTCTTGCTGGGAACCAATGAGAGCCTTGACGTGGGTCTGCGACCTTTTAAAATATGCATTTTAAAATATGCATTTAAATATGAATTAAAAGGACCTAAGCCTTTAGAATGTTGGTTTTTGTATGTTTTTTTTCCCAGTGATTACTGAAAAGACAAAAATCTCCACAAATTTTCTGGTGTTGGAGGTGTGTGCTGTTGAGTCAGAACCAATCCACAGCTAACACTCCAGCAGGATTCTAACAATTCTAACAGTAAACTGCATGGAGGCAGACTGCCTATCCTTCTCCAGAGGAGCAAATTGTGCCTTTGAGACCGTAGCACAGCTTCTTACCACTAGGTTACCAGAGATCCCCATAAATTTTCTAAACTATAAAACCCCTCAAAACACATACAACACACAGTTGATCATTTCCCTCCCACGTCGGTAGTCCTATCATGGTTCAGAGGTGCTGTAAACTCGCCCTGCCTCCCCAGTACACTCTCCCCAAGGAGGCAGAGAACACAGCCGTGCCACTGCAGTGGTGGCTTCAATCTGCCTGCGCCATCCAGGATCTACCATCTGTGTCTCAGGAAAAGGGCAGGAGAAGAGTAACAATCTTCTCAACAGTGGACAGTGGACAGCACGTACCTTCAGCAGGCCTTGGAGACCGCGGCTCAGGCCCAGGTTAACACAGGAAAGCAGGACACGCATGCTCTGGTTCCCAGTGCATGTGCTGCCCCTCTACTGCAGTCAGGCAAGAGGCTGGAATCCTTACAGCCTGAGAGTGACTTCCTTCCTCAATAGTCCAATAAAATTCTCAGTCCTGCCAATATTGGCTTCCTTCCCCAATAGTCCAACAAAATTCTCAGTCCTGCCAATATTTGCTCCCCTCTCCCCAAATTCCCATCTCACATCAGTTCTCCAGTTCAGCTATCCCTGCTTGATGCTGCTGCCTCAAAGCATGCCCATTTAAACAGATTGGGGGAAGGAACCTTCTTCTTCTAGTGATGGAAGAATTTCTTTTCTGGTGGGGGATGATTTCCAGTATATGTAGCTAGAGTGCTTCAATTTTTTGGCAAGCTGAGACAATACCCTTGTAGATTGTTGAGACTGGCCAATTTCCTTGTGAAATGGTAGACAGCCAAACTCCTTGCGGAGAGGCCAGCACACCCTATTTGAATAATTATATTTCTGTTAACAGAGTCTAAGTGAAAAATCAGTTGAACTACAGTAAATTGGGTAGCTTCTCTCCCATCTATGTTAGAGTTGTCTTCTCAGTTACAGTTTCCTCCTTAACACATCTGTTCTCACAGGTGTAGAAAAACAAACAAACAACAACAAAAACCCAAACTTGACTTCTGTTTAACAGGAGATCTTATCCTAGACCTTGTAAGGCCCAACAGAATCAAACAATTATATCAAGTCTTTGTGCAAGAGACACTTAAAAAAAGAGAGGGAGGAAGACATTAACTCACACACTAGGTGTCATTTACATCCATTTATTAGAGGAGGGCTGTTTTCTGCCATACAAGATCTCTCTGAGTCAGAATGGAATTGAAGGCTTCTTTTAAACCCACCATATTGGCAGAAAGAGAAAAGACCTGGCAATCTCATTCTTTAAAATTAAAGCCAAGAAATATTCTGTAATGGTTTTACTTTGTGATATAGAAATTTTATATGAGTCATAATTGATTCAGTGACCGCAGGCAGGTTTGTGTTTTAAAAATAACCACAGATGGGAGATCCTGGGGAAACACTGACATCCTGAGGTGATGGTGTGTTCTCTGGAGGCCTGTAAGCAGGAGGTGACTCATCTGCCCTGTCTTTCTTTTTATTGTTTCAGAACGCTGCGATGACTGGGGACTGGATACCATGAGACAAATCCAAGTATTTGAAGATGAACCAGCTCGCATCAAGTGCCCACTCTTTGAGCACTTCTTGAAATATAACTACAGCACAGCCCATTCAGCTGGCCTCACTCTTATCTGGTATTGGACTGGGCAGGACCGGGACCTTGAGGAACCTATTAACTTCCGCCTTCCTGAGAACCGCATAATTAAGGAGAAAGATGTGCTCTGGTTCAGGCCAACCCTCCTCAATGACACGGGCAATTACACCTGCATGTTAAGGTACACTGACTCTCAGCAGTGACTTTATCTTGGCCTTGTAGTGACCAGTCTTTTATTGAGATGATACATATGCCAGAGCACTGTGAAGGGCAAGAGAGGAAGCTTTAAGAGTCACCTTAACGATATACTCCCATCAGTGGCTTAGATGAGATGGTCTGGAGGAGGTATGCAGAGGAAAATAGTTTGCTCCCAGTTCATTCTTCAGTGCTGGCTCCTTTTATGAGGCTGGGATGTGTCCAGATAGTATAAAAAATGGAATCTTGCTGGTTTGCTCCCTTGCCCTAACATTGAAACTTGGACACTCTTGAACGTCACCTGTTGTATCTCATTCCCTAGACAATGATCAGGGCAGAAAGTCGAACCTATTCATATTTGTTTTTCTTAGCATCTTACAAAGCACATGGAACAAAGTACAGATTCAGGATCCTTTCATGGAACAGATAAGCGTTATGAAACAGTACAGGGTTTAGAATTGTACTAAGGTTCAAGGACACCAGCAAAAGTCACACATCCTACAGGCTCTAAAATATAAGAGTAAATATCCATATAGATCCTGGCCCTCCTTCCGGAAGTGCTGCTGCAGGTCGCAGGTGTTATGGCTTCATGGTTACCTCGTGGAGCTGGAGCATTGGCCACTCAGGCCTTGAGGGCCCGCAGTCCCAATAGGGTTGCCACCATGTGCTCGATGGCATCTGGAGGTGGTGTGCCTACCAGTGATGACCAGAAAACAGGGTTAGAGCGAGAAAGGCTAGTATCTATACTATATGCTTGCTCCAAAGGCAGCTTCAGGCACTAAGGAACACCTAATTTAGTTCCCTCCATCACCAACAAGCGAAAAGTAGGCTGCATCTGTGAAGAAGCCAACAGTGCTGTGATCTGGTTTTGGCAACAAAGAGGTGATGTGCAGTGATGCCCTAACTGTGGGACCCATTACAAGCTGGTACCTGACCAGTTAGCTCACTGAGTGAGCCCCTGAATGTGCTCGTGCTCCCACTGACGTGGTTTAAATGTGCTGGAATGTTTCTTTGTTTCCAGTAAAGACTAGCCACTGCTTTGGCTCCTTCTCCTATTTAAAAAAAAAAAAAGTAAATATTCATCTAGAAAGGAGATACAGTGAGATCAGCTTTACTAATGGTCACTGGTCTTGCCATCCTCACATATGGCTGGTATATGAAGGGTGTATCGCACAGATGCCACACCAGTGCCTAAGAGTAGAGAGATGCCATTGTTCATATCTATCTATCTATCTATCTATCTATCTATCTATCTATCTATCTATCTATCTATATATCTATCTCTATCATCTATCTATATCTATATCTATCTATATCATCTATATCTATCTATCTATCTATGGAGTTGGCCAAGTGCCATATGTTACCTACACACATCCAAGAGATAGAGGGTGATTGTGTGTCCATACCAGGGGAAAAGCTTTGCTCCAGGGGAAGAGAGAACCATGAGTTCCCATTCACCTCCTCAGAGGGCCTTGGGCCATTGCCTTTACTTTTAGGTGTTTAGGCTAGGCAGCATACGGGCACACAGCTTCTCTCAGGAAAACATGACCCCCAAACGAGAATTCCCCTATGAGAGGAAGCAAGTGAATCACCATATTGTTGGGAATTTAAGAGTATAATAGAAAGCATCCCTGAGAAGTTAAGATTATAACCCAAAGTAGTCCACTTCATAGAAAAATGTCTTTGAAGTCCATTTTACATAGATTTTGCAAGTTATGCTACACTCTATTTTATTTCATCCCACCTGAATTTCAGAATCATCTCAGGAGCAGGTTTAAGGCCTTGAACACTAATGAGCGAAGACCAGATGAGTTGTGGGAGGATTGAACACTAATGAGCGAAGAACAGATGAGTTGTGGGAGGATGTCAAAGGTATCATCCAGGAAGAGTGCAGAC